GCGGGGGAAACTAAAACTTAAGGGCATTTACTGAAAGGGCCGCTGTGTAATTAAGGAAATTTGACAAAATTAATATCGACTACAGGTTACAAGTCAAATATAAACATAGAAAAAAATAAATGTAACGATTATCTAATCTAGCAAGGACCTATATTTTTATGTTCAAAAACACATGCGAATACACACATACACAATAACATATACATGTACATACATACATATAGGCGTGCATTGCAACTATACTGTGTGAACAATAGTTACAGTTTATGGGAAAAAGGGAGAGTATTATCTTTCAAGAAAGCCAGTATGCTCAAACCCTAGGCGACAATGACTTGGGACGTTCTAGCTAAACCGCCGTTTGCTCTTAAATAGTTCTGTCAACAATTTCAATCACAATTTATAGGCTTTTATGCCATGTTTATGTGACGTTTGTGCCGATGGCCATTTGACAGTTACTTAGCAAACTACACAAAAAATAGACATGTTATAAAACCTTCAATAGTGAATATAAAAAAAAAATGCAACGCGTGGTATGGTTGCTCTGCACTTTCCAAAGGTGCTGCACTCTGGTATCACCTTTAAAATACCAAGATGGCAACTTCGTAATCAATCGAGCATGACGAGATTCGAACGTGGGACTCATGGTCAGAAAGCGGACGACCTAACCACTGGGCCATGTCACGTATAGTGTCACCGCCTTCTACTTTTACTTGCTAATTCAATTTATTGCATTAAGTGCACGTATTCGATTGCTTTCTGCATTTGAATGGCGTATCTTTATTTATATACTTTTATGCCATGTTTATGTGATGTTTGTGCCGGTGGCCATTTCACAACTGCTCAACTGACTAAAAGTCAACGAACTACAGAAAAAGATAAATAAATAAATATTATAAATCCTTTCAGTAGTGAATGTTAAAAAATTTACACCCAGAATTTTCGTTTTTTGCTTCTTTTGCGCGTCTTACAAGATATAATCAAAACGAAAGTTAGATTTTTAAAAAAAAACTTCGAACAAACGGCTTATGCATGCTTACATAATCAATATATACTCTCCGTGCGATAAGGTTACGAAAGACGATAGATATTTACAAGTCTGGCACAAGGATAATAAAAAAATAACACCTCTTTATACTATTTACATTATTCGGACTATTGCCCTCATCTCTGTCGCCATATCTATTTCGGCTGTTGCACGCTCCGGCATTCTTCAGGTGGTTGGAATGTCGAACTGAACCCTTTATTTGCCTCACTGGGGTAGACTGTTCTAGTTCCATGTGCCATGTTTAATGGATGTCAGTTAACAGTTATCTCCTGCTAAATTCCCCTCTCTAAGTTCTCCACCGACTTAACCAGGTATTGAACTCACATTCTTTGGGTCCTGCCACTGAATCTAACCAACGCCTTTATCTACTGTGCCATGTGTTTTTGACAGATACTAAAGGGCCGAAACGTTGTAATAAATATGACGACAAAGATGAGGACAATAGTCCGAATAATGTAAATAGTGTACATAATACATCATCTCAGAAATATAGACAGATACTGAAGGGCCGAAACGTTGTAATAAATATGGCGACAAAGATGAGGACAATAGTCCGAATAATGTAAATAGTGTACATAATACCTCATCTCAGAAATATAGACAGATACTAAAAGGCCGATAACTTGTAATAAATATGGCGACAAAGATGATGACAATAGTCCGAATAATGTAAATAGTGTACATAATACCTCATCTCAGAAATATAGACAGATATTCAATACATTTTTTATCTCTACGCCTCCAAAGATTTGAATCTGTCAGCAACTATCGTTTTTTTTTTTATTTTAAACAAACGAATGCCCAGGTGGATAGAGTGTTAGAATACCGACCGTGGGATTCGGGTTCGATAACACTATTGTTAATTTGTTAGGGATGTGGCATCTTGTTAACAGTAAACTGAGAGACGTACACAGCCTGCAGCAAAATTGGGAACAACTGAAAATCCTATCCCGGATTGACCCAAATCAAGCGAGTGAAAAGTGATAGAGGTAACATTTTGGAAGCAGTTCTGCGTTTACTTTCCTTGTTCAGAAGATTCACACTTTCCCAAAAACTGTTACTAAGGTACGGTCAGCAGAGTTGCAGCATATAACCAAAATTGGCGCAGTAAGTATTAAATAAACAAAGGTTCCTGGTCAGGTGTCTATCATAGGATTAGTTTGGCAACTTTGCAAAGGGGCAAACTTCGAAACCAGAACTCTGCTTATGCGTAGCATTATCCTTTTAATTTCTGTCTACATTAATATGCTTGAGAAGGTGTCTAACATAGGAATTTACTTAACTCCCTTGAAGACGTGTAAACTTAGAAACGAATGTCTCACTTTTATTGTAATTATCGTTTACATTTCTGTATATTTGAATGTGAGTGTTATCTCTGGGAATGTTATCTATTATATTTTATCTGTTACCTCCTGAAATTTTATCTGTCATCTCTGGAGATTTTCTTTAACAATA